CTTGGGTCTTTCTCCTGTAATGTAGCCGTTTACACTGATTTTTGTGAGAATGTGGGGAGCTCCTCTTGTTCTTCTTTTTCCTGGGATTCTGGTTGAAGCACTGGATTGCGGGACATACAGTCGGCGTCGCTATGTGTTGAGCCTTTTTTATATACAACCGTGTAATCGAATTCTGCAAGTTTTAGTGCCCACCTGGCCAAGCGTCTGTTGCTTTCCTTAATGGAGTCCATCCAGCAAAGAGCATGGTGGTCAGTGACGATTTTTACTGGTCTTCCGTAAATTAAGTGTCTCAGATAACTCAATGCCCACACTACGCCTAAGAGTTCTAATTCACTAATTGAATAGTTTTTTTCGCTATTTGAAAGACTTCTGCTTATGTAGGCTATTGAAGGCGCTTCTCCCTTGTCGTCTTCTTGTAAAAATACTGCCCCAATGGCCTATTCCACATATTTGGATTGAAATGCTGTAGCACAGGTGCGGAAACCAGTTTTTCTTTAAGGATGTTAAATGCTTTGTTTTGTTCAGAACCTCATTTGAACCCTATGTTCTTTCTTGTAACTTCATGTAGGGGTCTTGCTATTGATGCGAAGTTAAGTATAAATTTTCTATAAAAATTACATAATCCTAGAAAGCTCTGTACATTTCTAATTTTCTTTGGCGTCTGGAACCCTTTTATGCAAATTATTTTTTCTTCATCTGGTAATCGCCTTGCTCCTTTACTTTGAAGCCTAGTATTTTGATTTCTTTTTTCAAATATTCGTATTTGATTTTAGGGTAAGGTTAGCTTGTCGCAATCGCTCAAAAACTTTCTATAGTTTGCTCAAGTGTTCTTCGAATGTTTGTGAGAATATAATGATGTCGTCTAGGTAGATTAGCACTTCCTTCCATTTCATATCCCAAAAAACTTGGTCTGCTAGTTCTTGGAAAGTGGCTGGAGCGTTGCATAATCCAAAACTTAAAACATTAAGTCCCATGTCCTTGCGCCACGAAGGCAGTGTATTGCTTGGACTTCTCTTCGAGTGGAACTTGCCAATATCCGGAAAACATATCGAGTGTGCTGAACCATTTTGCATTGCCCAAGTATGACAAAATGTCATCGATGTGCGGTAGTGGATATGTTGATTTTTTTGTTACTGTGTTAACCTTTTTGTAATCTACACAAAATCTTGTTCTTCCATCGTTTTTCTTAACTAGCACTACAGGGCTAGCCCATGGAGAATGGCAAGACCGAATTACTTCGCTCTCGAGCCTTTCCTGGATTTGTTCCTCAATAATCTGTCTTTCTTTTTGTGACACTCTGTATGGGCGGCTCTTTATTGGGTGAGCCACTCCGACGTCTATTATGTATTCTGTTAAGTTTGTTTTTCCCATATGTTTTGTAGATTTCGCGAAAACGTCGTTGTATTCCAGAAGAAGTTCTTTGAGTTCATGCCTGTTCTCCCCGTTTGTGATGCTGTCTAACTTATGATCTTCCATTGTTATTTTTTCGCTCTCTCCATCTTTTTCTGCTTGCAACATGAAATTTATGTGTGACAGATTTGTCTCTGATGTTGTTTCTGCCAAAAATGCCATTGTGGTTCCAGCGTATATAGCTACTGGGTTCCTTGTGTTTGATTGTACTTTTAAAATGAGGCTACCTTCATTGGTGTGAATGTACGTTTTTAGTTCAAGATGATTTTTTGCTAACCAGTCTAAATTATATTTGCATGTATACATAGTATTATCTTCAATCTCACTAGGTTTGCCCATAATATCTAATTCCAATGTTTTTAACTCATTCTGAAATACCGTGTAATCTTTTTTTGTACCCAATTTATATGTGTTTTTCTTAGTTTCTGTACCGATTTGCATCAGATGCCTGATTTCTTCTTCCTGCTTTTCTTCTTCAACTTTATACCCAGGTTTTTCCCTATAAATGTTTTGAAATAGATAGCCCTCCAATGGTCCCTTTCTCTCTGTTTTTTGGAATCATATGCCTATATTTTTTGAAAACTGATTTTTTTGATTTGTAGTTTTGGGCTAAAACGGCGTCGTTCGTTAGAACGTCTATGTTTCCATATTCTTCTTTCAGGAGACCGTTAACCTGGTCATCTTTTATGTGAATGTGTTCTCTTACAAACTTGTTAAACTCTTGTTCATCTCTTGAAGTATCTAGTCTAAGCTCTCGTTTGAGTCGGATGTTTTGTTGTGACCAGACCTGACATGTTGATTTTTTCGTTATTCATTTGTCTTAGGGGTATTTCATGCTGACCATTCAGAATCAGTTTTTTCCGTTCCGTGGGAGACCTATGATCGCGTTATTTTCTGTCAAAAACTGCATGCCTAGGATTATTGGTTCAGTTAATGATAAAATCACTTTGGCGTTTAGTCTGCCCTTCCATTTTTGACTCCCTGGTATTTCTATCGGAACTTCAATGTCTCCCAAAACTTTTATCTGGTGTCCTCCTGCAGTGACTAGAACCGTGACATCATTTCTTGTTAGTTCCTTTTTGATTACACTTCTTTGTAGAACGCTATCTTGTGCTCCTGTATCCACCATTGCTGACATGTACTTATTATTTAATCTAACTGTGATGTGCAAGATTCCTATGTTATTGTTCTTCCCCAGGGTAAGGATGGCAGGGGCCTTTAATTTTGCCATCCCTTCTCGTTTGGGTTTTGTCGTTGGGTGGTACAGGTGTTTGCATAGTGACCCTGTTTTTCACAAACAAAGCAACCAGGATTGTTTTTGTTGCTTCGTGGCGTATACGATTTGTTCCTTCGAGGCTGGCTTCTGCATACTGTTGCAGTATGTCCTGTTTTCCCACAGTTGTAACAAACGGTGGCAATTTTTGAGTTGGAGTTATGATTTCTCATCTTTTGGCTCCTACAAACAGCTGCGAAATGTCCTGTTTTCCCACAATTATAACACGTTTGGCTAGATATTGGTACTCTTGTGCTTGTTTGTTCTCCTTGCATTCGGATCCTGCAGGTGGCCATTACATGTCCTCTTTTTCCACAATAATGACATATCTTTAGTTCTGTGTCTGTGATTGTATTTCTTTCCACAGCTGGTAATTTGGGTATCTTGCGTTGCACCTTTCTTCGGAGCTTTGTCTATCGTGTCTGCTATTTCTTTTAATTGTATAAGTGATGTTGGTGGCTTATTTGGCGGGTTTGTTAACCAGTAGTAATTGTAATGATTTGCCTCTGTCAACCCTTCGCTGAAACTCTTTACAAATTCTTGAATATCAAATGTATGTGTGTAATTGTGGTATAATACTTGTAAGTCGTACAAGTATTCCTTGACTGACTCATCTTGACCTTGTTTTCTGTTTTCGACTTTTTTCTGGAGTGCCCTTTGGTAATCTGTATCCTCAAATTCCTCTGAAAAATCTTTGACAATGTCTTTCCACCTGTTGTTTTGGTGGTCGCGCTTATATTCCTGAAACCACAGGTTTGCGGCTCCGTCTAAATATGTTTCAAAATAAACAATTTTCAGCTTTTCGTCCCATCCATTTGCTATCGCTAATTTGTCCTATGTTCTTAGGAACTCGATAGCGCTGGTTTTACACGGCTGGAAGGTTTGAGGGCTGATAAACTGAGACAACTTTGCCTGTTTCTCCGCTCTCATAGCGTCAGTTATTGTGGTGTTCGCCATTATATCCGGTTGTTCTACTTCCTCTTTTGATAGTTACCTGGGTTTTGGTGCTTCTTGAAGGGTAAGGTCTGGTGGGCTACCAAAAAAACTATCTTCTTTGTAGCATATTTGATTATTTGCTTGGTTTTCTATCTCACTGTTAATCTGCTCTAAACTGATACTGAGCGACTCTAGTGGTGATCTTTGCAGTGATCTCCTCGGCAGAAAGAGCGCGCTTTCTGATTCTGTGCTCCTATAGGGTGGTATAAATAATTCTACTGGTGTCGTTGCTGCTGCGTTCTTTGGCCCCAAATTGTATTTGCCACGATGGCGACGGTAAACTGGTCACAATTTATTCTTCTATTGGCACTAGTTTTTAAATCTACGAGTCTTTTCTTCACCTTCGCCACGCTGTCGTGAATTTCTCTTGAGTACTTTCGTCACGGTACCGTTTGTCGACGTACCGCGTCGTGACGTATTTGGACGTTGGCTTGCTTCAAAGGCGCCTTACGACGTCGGTTCTTGGGCGTCGGTTTCGAGACGGTGCCTCCACCAAATATGTCACAACTGCCCGGTTTACGAGGGTGACATGGGGGATTTGTAGCTTTGGGGGTCGATGGAGAGAAACTCGCTCAAGTTATATAAAAGTGTAGATATATATTTTCCCAAATATGCCCTTACATGTACGCTAGTCCTATAAGATGCATGACCCTTCGAACATTGGGGCCCTTATAGGGAGCCACACGTCAACGCTGCTTGGGCGACTGTCGATTAGTTATCGTCACCTTTATGCCTTGTCCAGAGGGGCTTTCCCAATGACAGGTCATTGCACTGGACAACGATAAGGCTGAAGATACCTAGAGGGGCTTTCCCAACGACAGGTACTTGCACTGGGGAGACTTGATTCCAGAGGGGCTTTCCCAACGAGAGGTAGTTGCACTGGTTTAAGTCTGTCTGTTGCTCGGCTTGGCCCGCTATTTATATGAATTTATTGCTGAATTGCAATAAACATCCGATCGAATCGGCAATTAAATTAATAAGGTTGAATACCGGGTCCTCCTTTCCTAAGCAACTAGTTGACAATATTTTTGGTGCTGGCTTTCAAACTAACTATAAAATGTTCTGGAAAAATCACTGTGTTGTCCGCGGATCTACTGAAACCCTGTTTCCTAACAAGTATTGAACTCATTCATTCAAGAGAATTCACTAATCACTTATCGGTTTTACTCAACATCATACAACCATTCTCTCATTTAAACTGACTTTTTGCTTATTCTGGTTAGTCCTTCTACCAACTTATGTAATAAACTTCGATTACTTCTTAAATCAAATTTGACAATAAAACTTATTTTTTCATCAAAAGTTACCTTTTTATTATTAGGTACCCCAAATCGACCCAGAAATCGATGACCTTCTAAAATGCCACGCCACAAATTGTGTTTACATGAGATGCATAGTTGGAACACTAAAAAAAGATGAATTTGTTTCAATTGCCATCAGATCCAGACTGAACGTGAGAGCTGTAAAACAAGTAAGTTACTTTTTAAAGTTAAAATAATGCATTTTTACCTAAAATGTTTTTTTTAGTTAAGTACTACAAATCCAGTCAAATTATCTTCGATGATGGTAGCAAGGATATCCAAATTACCTTACATTGGCAGACCCAAAGAACAAGTCCTCCATAGCCATGAAGTCTTCACAGATATTCCGGCTGGAGAACAAGAACTGACTCCTCAAGTGGTACCTTTGTGGATCATATTGCTGTCAGCAATAGCTGGAACTCTGATTTTGCTGCTGGTTATTTTAATGTTATACAAGGTAAGCAAATTGAATGTCCAAATAAAAACATGGTGTGTGCTTAGGACTACATTACAGAAATGAAAAGTTCCATTAGGCAAGATTAATAATATAAAATACAAGTATTTTTTTTTTGTATTCTATATTCATTGCCCAGATTGATCTTCCTTTGTATAATACTCTAATGAAACAATAGCTCATTTATGGTAACTAAAATATCTGACGAATACTTCTAATTCAAATCTATTTTCTTTGATTTTGTCTGTATCAAACACAACAATTTCTGTCATATTTACACAAAGAGCACATGCGTACCCGAATGAGCGTTACATAGCTGAGCGTGATAGTTCAGTTTCAGTCACTAAAATTTAAGTAAAAATGTTATACAATACCTATATACTATACAACCTGACTTCCTCATGAAGATTTTGTAAGAAGTTTATTGATTTTTTATAAATATTTTTTCTTTAAATAAAGTAGGAGACTTTGTATAAACGTGTATATTTTCTGATTAATAAGAGCAAAGCGCTTTCGGCTAATCAGCCATCATCAGTGCCAACTTAAAATTGTACAAAAAAAGTGGTTTAAGTACTTGAAAAACAAACAATTTAAAACTTGCGTGTCAGAAAAGCAATAGGAAACTATCCGTAATAGGTTATAGGGAAGCTATTCTATTCAATCTTCGATGTAAGGGTAAGTAGGACCTATTTAATTGTACTTGGGTATTCAAGCAACGGTGGTTGGATAATCTTTCCTTATTAATTTCAATGCCTTCAAGAAAATCCAGTCTTAGAAAATTTTCGCTGGCAACATTTATCAAGAGTTGGGAATTCTTGTCTCTGTCAAATTGATGTTTTGAGAATTTAATGTGGTGACCAAATGGCGATTTATTAGGATTTTTCAGATGTTCATCTATCCTGGTGTTCAAATTTCTGCAAGTTCTTCCAATATAGGTGGTTTCACATTCAGAGTGTAGCAAAACGCCCCAAGTACTCTATGTAATTAGTTAGATGGTAAATGGCGAGCGGAATATTGATGGTGTTTATTTACTTGGAGCTGCTACCTAAAATCTGTGGAAGGGTCTATTTGCAAGAGAGAGAAACAAACTATTGAGGTGTACTAAAATTATATTTTATTATACATAAAACCCAAAAATTTAATTCAGCAAAATATCTTCCAATTCTAACAGCCTCATCTATTTTTTTCTTAATTCAATTACTTCACATCTGTTCTAAAATTGTTATTATTACGGACCACTGAAATATCCCTACTAAATAAGAAACGCCCTATTCCTACTATGCCTAAAAACTCATTTCCAGGGCCGGTCCAATAGCTATTATATGCCGAGGCAAAGTTCCATTCTGGCCCCCTTTCTCAAATTGTATTGTCAAAATGCTTGAACATCAATATGATAAGCAATGACTTTTAGGCTGTTTAGAGAGTAGGAGAATAAAACAAAAAAATTAACTTCATTTTTTAAAATAAGTAGGTACATATATCAAATGTTTACTTATTACATAAGCTCTGCGGTCTGCTCTCACAGAAATCACAAACTAGTCGGAGTGTTTTTGATTGGTACAAATCGCCAGCAACCAGTTTTCTGATAGTTTACAACCAATGAAATTCGCTCTGATACGTATGTGATGTCTGTGAGAACAGATCTATACTGTAGATATATACAGGGTGTCAATTTCGAAACTTTCAATGCGAATATCTCTGAAAGTAAAAAAGTTGGAAAAACGTAGTTTGGTAAAAATGTAATACAGATAGAGGTAGGGGTAGGAGAAACTGTAGAACCACTATATTTTCGTTATCTCATGCACCCCAACCCCAATTTTTTAAATGGCGCAACCCCTTTTGTGATACCTAAAATTAAATATTTTTTGAAAAAATTCTTGTGCAGGTGAATACTATAAGTACTCAAAAATATTTAATTTTAGGTATCACAAAAGGGGTGGTGCCCTTGGTGGTGCCATTCAAAATTTTGAGGTTGGGGTGCATGGGGCTCAAGGAGTCACTGACCGCATAACCAAAATATGGTAGTTCTAGTTCCCCCTACCTGTATAACATTTGTATCAAATTACGTTTTTCTAACTTTTCTACTTTCAGGGATATTCGCATTGAAAGTTTTCAAATTGACACCCTGTAGGTATTTATTTCTCAAATTAACTAAATACAAAAATAATTTCTCAAAACTAATTAAATTATCAAAACTAAAAATGAACCGCCGGCAAAGTCAGAGATGAGTTCGTTGATTGGTCTGTTCTCACAGAAATCAGCAACCAGTCAGAGGGAATTTCATTGGAAATAATCATAAAACTGGTTGTTGGCGATTTGCACCAATCAAAAACTCCGACTGACTGGTTTGTGATTTCTGTGAGGAAAACAGACCTAATCTACACCATCGAACATGTTATGACCATCAAACCATCGAGTGTGTTCAATGGTCGAAGGTTATAACTATAACATTTCCATTTGCTAGAGCGAAAGTCTGTTCAATCTATCCTGAGACAAAGATAATCGGAAGTACCTTGATAAGAGGTGACAGATGACAGTGGTAACACGTAAATTAACTTTTACCGGACGATGTTGTTGGATCTTTTATTATATCCCTATAATCTTTGTGGCATAAAACACTTTTTTTTAATTAACTTTTTAAGTCGAAACAAATTTGTTTGCAATTTGGCGCCCCTAATCGTGGCGCCTGCCTCGGTTGCCTGTGCCTAAATCCGGCCCTGGAGAGGTGACAGATGACAGTGGTAACACGTAAATTAACTTTTACTTACTGCTTATGAAAAACCCAAAATATTTATTTATTAATATAGGCATTAATAACTTATTCTTATAAAACCTTACAATAAATTCCTACATGAAATTTATTAACCCTAACTCAAAATTCATTTCATGAACAATAATTTCCTTTAACAACTTTCCAATATTTTAAGACAATTCTATTTCATGAACATCAAGTTTCTTTTCAAAATTACCTATTCCATTTAATAGTTAATTTAATCAGAACAAATTCTATTATAACTTTCCCTTAACAACTTTCCAATAAGTATTTTAAGACAATTCTATTTCATGAACATCAAGTTTTTTTCAAAATTTTCTATTCCATTTAATAGTTTATTTAATCCGAACAAATTCTATTATAAGTTTCCTTTAACAACTTTTCAAGATTTTTAAGACAACAATTCCATTTCATGAACATCAAGTTTCTTTTCAAAATTTCCTATTCCCTTTAATTAGAACAATTACTATTTTTCGCCATCCTGGCTAACATATAGAATTATTTAGATTCTTATTAGTTTGTTACCATAGCCCTTAAACTTCAATTGGACAATCCAATTCACTTTAATAATCCCTACTCAAATCGATAAGTACTTATTATGTTATGTTAAAGTTCCAAAGTTAATTATAAAGTCAAAAGTTTTTCTAGTGAAAATCACTCAAGTTTTTAGGCCTTAAAATTGAAAGTTTAATCACACAAAGTCATGTTCATCATTTATATACAACATAAATCTTGTCACTATAGAGTACTTACATTTTGTCCATAAATCACAAAACTAATCTAATTTAATTCTTTTGATTACTTAGAGCCCGCACATAAGTTGAACGAATTTCAAATGTTATTTCTTTGACAATTTTCAGAAACTTTTTGCGAAACCGGACAGACTTAAACTCAAACTGGACAGGACTGCGAACTCATCTCTCAACTGACAACTTTTTCCACTTCTAAAACCGCGGTATTTATATTAAATCGATCCCCTCGTAAAGTATTAATTATCCCCCAAATCGTCAATAGGCGGTCGTTTGCCTAGCAATCCGAATTCCATTGGCCGACCAAAATATTATTAAAAATAATGATGCAATTTCCTTGAAATTTTTATCATTCTTAGTTTAAAAGAATTGAATAATTATGTTGCAATATCCTAATTTATCGAGGTCAATATATCTTTTTTTGTTTTTTTTTTTTGTTCAAGAATGCCATAAATCATTTATAATTACTTGGCCTCGCTCTTTTAAGTTCATTGATTTAGGAGATGACACAGGCTTTATGACGAAATACCTAATATAATATTAAAGGTTAATTTGTTCCCTTTTCAATTTATTGATACTGATTACTGATTTGGAGATACCGGAAATTCTGTTTTTGATTATTTGACATTTATTAAATTTTTACAGTAAAGACATTGTGATTTAAGGGTCTATTTTCTCGGAATATTACAAGAGCAACTCAGTGGCGCACCCAGGAGGGGGGGGGCATCGGGCCAGGGCCCCCCCCCCCAGGCCGCCTCTCCAAAACTTTATGTTTACGTATAAAAAAAAGTAGCACATTCAAGGCGTGGCACCCTGACACCTCAATTTTTTTCAGATTTTCAGTCACAAGCCACAACCTATGTAGCCCCCCCCAAACATATTTTCTGGGTTCGCCACTGTTCCTGGAAAAAAAATCAAAAATCAGGCCACAATCTGTATCGTAAAAATATCACTTAGTGTCTCTTTGAGATTAAAAAATCGTAGATCCGCTATCTCTGGCTTTTTTCCAATCAAATTTTGGTATGTTCAAGCTAAAAACCTTGTGTACAGGGTGTCCAAATTTGGATGGTTTTAATAGGAAACGTCAATTTCTGAGCGAGATACAAAAAAATGAACCTTCCACTCCGAAGCTCAAATTTCTTAAAATTTTGATTGGTGCAAACCGCATTTTGATATCTTCAACCGTTTAGCCGCTAGAGGGCGATTCTCGATTTTGAGCAATACTGTTAAATCTTCATAACGTAAGTTCCTGCTACGAAATATTCGGTATTTTTGTTGAAAACCGAAAAACCAGACTGACATTGAATGTTTCCACTCTAAATTTGTTTGGACCTCGTAACAAAATTTCATCCTTACCATCTAGATATTTTCGCATTTAAACTCGCTTCTCCTCGTCACTATATTTTGAAGAAACGTATATAGAAAGTTTTTGAAGTGAAAACTTCTTTAGAATCGCTGGGAGTGATTTGAGACTTGATGAA